AATTGTGGAGAATGTTGCAGAAGGTTGGGGTGAACTTGAGGGATGATGAGAAGAACCTAACAGGCATGGCTCTTGTGAAGTGTGTCATGCAAACTTGGCTCCCAGCCAGTACTGCTCTGCTTGAGATGATGATCTGCCACCTCCCCTCTCCGTTACAAGCACAGAAATATCGTGTGGAGAACCTGTATGAGGGCCCCCTTGATGATAAATACGCAGAAGCTATTAAAAATTGTGATCCTGAAGGTCCTCTTATTCTGTACGTTTCCAAGATGGTCCCAGCATCTGATGTGGGCAGCTTATTCGCGTTTGGTCGTGTCTTCTCTGGAAGGATTGCAGCTGGCATGAAGGTCCGGGTCATGGGGCCTTCCTATGTCCCCGGCATGCAACTGATTTATACGTGGAGTCTGTCCAGCGTACCATTATATGGATGGGAAAGAAGCAATGTGACGTTCCGGATGTTCCTTGCGGTAATACTGTTGGATTGATTGGTCTGGATGCATGCATAACAAAGAGTGCTACCCCGACAAGCGAGAAGGAGGTTGTTGCACGCCCAATCAGAGCGATGAAGCTCTCTGTATGCCCTCTGATGTTTGTTACAGTTAACTGCAAGGTTCCGTCTGAGTCTCCCAAACTTGTACAAGGTTTGAAGCGTCTGGCGATGTCTGATCCTGTGGTTCTTTGGAGCCAGGTAGAGCCTGGTACCTTTACGGTTGCTGGAGTGGGAGAGCTTCATTTGGAAATTTGCTTGAAGGATCTACAGGAAGACTTTATGGATGGTGTTGAAGTTGTTGTTTCCAGTCCGCCTGTTGCTTCCTTCCGTGAGACTGTCCGCAAGTCTTGTGATCCTGTGGAGAGGAAGTCCAGAAACAAGCAAATCCAATGCAGCTTGTCTGTGGTAGCCCGCCCCTTGGATGAAAACCTAATCGAGGCTATTGAAGATGGTCGCTTGGGTCCACGTACTGACCATGCGGTACGATCTGAGATCCTTGCTAAGCATGGTTGGGATAAGGATCTCGGTGATAAGATTTGGTGCTTTGGTCCTGATGCTGTTGGCCCGAATGTGATTGTTAATAGGTGCAATATAATACAGAATCTGGAGTTAGCGAAGAAAGTTATCGTGGCTGGCTTTGAAATGGTGGCAAAAGAAGGCGCATTGGCAAAAGAAAAGTTGCATGGCATATGCTTTGAGGTTCATAATGTTAATATACGTGCTGATGAAGCTGTGAGAGGTACAACTGCTCAGCTCAATGAGATGGTTAGGACAGCACTTATCGAGTCTCAGCTCGCCGCCAAGCCAAGGCTTCTCGAACCCACCTACATTGTGGCGATCCAGTGCCCTAAGAGTGCCCTCAGCACTATCTACGGAATTCTCCACCAGAGGAATGGTTCTGTGTATGAGGAGTTTGTGAGAGAAGGCACGATGCTACACATCCTGAAGGCTTACGTTCCAGTTTATGATTCCTTTGGCCTCTCCAAGGCAATCAGTGCTGCAACATCTAAGCTGGTCACCCCGCAGTGTATTTTTGGATATTGGAGCGACATGTGCTCTGATCCTTTCCAGGCAAATGCGCCAGCTGGGCAAATGGTCTTGGATATCCGCAAGAGGAAGAAGATGGGCAGGCCCTCTTTCCAGAAGTAGCTCCAGCTTTCCTTGCTTCAGTGTATGTTGTTGTTATCTGACATCTTCCGAGGTATATTATCTACTAATTGATGTTCAATTACTTAATATTGCTCCTGGATATGGTATTAATACTTTTGATACAATACTTGTGGCTCTTTGATGCCGTAAGTATGCTGAGGTTTAGCAACATGCTGAAATTTGTATCTTCAGGTCAAGCAGGCACAATTTTCTTGTAGATATGCCTGCCTAGCTTAGATTTTGTGCTGCAAGTAAACACATAATCCTAGTTAGATTTGTCGCAGAATTTGTTTGGGAGACATATCTCCTGATTTGGTGGCGACTTCAAGGGATTTTGCAGGTTCTTTATGCAAAGCAGGGGAATCAATAGCCAGATCTAGGGGTTTTTTTTTCTCTTGTTTGGACTTCATACTCTGTTAGGAACTTTGATTGTTTTTGTTGCACCGAACCAAATAGAGAAATGCATAGTTTTGTCCTGATTTAGCTTCAGATAATGTCAGAAAAGCAAATTGGTCTTGTTCTACCGCAGATGTTCCATTTAGCATGATTAGATCGCACATGTTTTCAAATTGTCATGTTCATTTGGACATTTGAGTGATGAAACGATGTTGATGCCACAATGCTCGCATGCCTTGCGTTTTCCCCGCCCAAGCATGCAATCCCTTGAGATAAAGCATGACTGATAGTTGCAGTCACAGACGTGCACTAGCAAACTGTTTAGTGCTACTGCTCGAAGCCGACTTTGCTGGTAGAGCAAGGCAGCTCGGTTGGTTAGTGAGGCCGGCAGCTTTCTGTTGTTCATCTAGTACTAGAGGTCACTGTGAAAAACAGTGTCCAGCCTGCTGTGCTGGCAGGAGCATATGATAACATCACTGCCAGAAAGTGCAGGGCTATTCAGTTATTCACTGTGCTATGTGTATATATGTCTGTGTTTGTGCACACTTTCTTCAGTGCACGCAGTTATATTTTGTGGTGCATTGCAGCTCATCCATAGTATGTGATATGATGTCGTGTCTGATTCGGATTCTGTGGTTTCCCCCTTTGCAGTGCGCTCTTCTCGTTGCTAGTATGCAGTGCTGGGGTTCGCTTCACTTGATCGATCGTCGACGGCATCTATCACCCCCTGAAGGGAACGGAGGGGCTTCTGCTCCCCCTAGCGAGGTGGATAGGTCTAATGGTAGCGAGCGAGTGTTAAGAAGAAACTTTCACACCGAGCTGAACTGTTTAGCGTCGTCGCTGCCCCAAGTGTTAACAAGGAACTTAATTGGTGTCAATGTACCTGATGTCGCGTCGTTGCTCAGAAATGTACCTGATAGTTGTAGAGGATTTTGCTGCTCTACATCTCCTTCCTTATCGACTGCCCTACTCTTTGCTGAATACTAGTGTAACATGCCATGTGGCAAACCCGCTTACAGACGCCGTTGCTCTGCAAGTGCTAGCTGTAGAGGATTTTGCATGCTGCTCTACATCTCCTGATGGACTGCCCTAGTTTTTGCTGAATGTTTGATTCCGATTTTCGCCAGTACGTACTAGAACTGATCTCGGTGGATGGAGTCTGTCTGCTTGTGTCTACTCTATCTTCGATCGCGGTGCCATCCACCCGCCGTCCAACATGCTGTGAGATGCGTGCTTAGCTCCTACATCTCTTGCTTTTTCTGCACACCCCCGTTTTTTTTCTCATTCTAGTTTTCTCTCTCCACCTTCACCAAGTTGGACAAAACTTTTTCTTTTCATCAAGTTTTGATTGCTCATTACGCTATGACACGTGGTAAACGGGAGAAAACGTATACTAAAATGTTTGACTGCATCCCACAAATATTCGAATAGTTCTTGTTTACACCTTTGGGTTGGTATGATATTTTATTGCGCAGCATAGCATGTTTACACCTCTCTTTTTTTTTGCTAGATTATAATTTTATCTCTTAAAATACCAGTTGGTTTGAATTTGGCAACGTGGAATTCTTATTAGCTTATTATTGTCTTTAACATGATTTTCAAAGAAAAGTAAAATGCAATTCAGGAGTTGCTAACTTGTTTGTTCCTTTCAGTTAGCGGGTCCGATTATTTTAGAATTCAAAATGTAATTGGTTGTTGTTCTCAAGTAAATGGGTGAGATTATTTCAATAATCAATACGTCACCTTTTTACTTTGCATTACTGTATATAAGTATGTGGCATTATGCGGTTTAGTTCCTGTTTATGTATGTTCATCAACCAGTTTGTTAACTCCTTTTTTTTGTTACTCCCTGAAAGTTTCTAAGATGTGTGTGCTGTCTTTTCGAATGTGGTCTCTAATTGTGCAATATATGACCTGCTACAATTTTATTTACTCATTGCAGGCAAGTCCACGCTTATAGATTCTCTTGTCATAGCTGCTGGGATTGTTAGACAGGAGGCTGGTGATGTTCCCATGACTGATACCCGTGTAGATGAAGCAGAGCGTCGTATTTCCATCAAAGCCACCGGAATCTCTCTTTTGTATGAAATGAATGACGAGTCACTCAAGGCTCACAAGGGTGAGAGAGATGGGAACAAATACTCCCTCCGTCCCAAAATACTTGTCGAAGAAATTGATAAAAATAGATGTATCTACAACTAAAATACATTTAGATACATCCATTTGTCCGACAAGTATTTCCGGACGGAGGGAGTACTTGATTAACCTTATTGATTCACCTGGGCACGTTGATTTTTCTTCTGAAGTCACAGCTGCTCTTCGTATTTCTGATGGTGCTCTGGTGGTAATTGATTCTATCGAGGGTGTCTGTGTGCAAACTGAAAGTGTGCTGTGCCAAGCTCTTGGTGAGATGGTTAGGCCTGTACTTTGTCTGAATAAGATGGACGAATTATTTCCTGGGCTTCAAGGTGAAGTTGTGAAGCATAAATTTACAGGTGAGCAAACATACCAGATTCTGAACAATGCCATTCAGAACCAATACCATTGTGGCAACACATGGAGACGCCCACCTTGGAGATGTCCAGTTCTACCCTGAGAAGGGAAATGTGGCATTCTCTGCTGGATTACACGGCTGGGCTTTTACGCTGACTAGCTTTGCTAAGGTGTATGCTCCGAAGGTGGGTGTGGAAGAATCTTATATGGTTAAGAAGCTTTGGGGCGACAACTTTTATGACCACACCACAAAGAGATGGACCAAGGAGAAGACCCGTTCCAAAACTTGTAAAAGAGGATTTGTCTTGTTCATCTATGATCAAATCGAGAGAATGATCCAAGCCGGCATCGAGAATCAGAAAGATGAATTGTGGAGAATGTTGCAGAAGGTTGGGGTGAACTTGAGGGATGATGAGAAGAACCTAACAGGCATGGCTCTTGTGAAGTGTGTCATGCAAACTTGGCTCCCAGCCAGTACTGCTCTGCTTGAGATGATGATCTGCCACCTCCCCTCTCCATTACAAGCACAGAAATATCGTGTGGAGAACCTGTATGAGGGCCCCCTTGATGATAAATACGCAGAAGCTATTAAAAATTGTGATCCTGAAGGTCCTCTTATTCTGTACGTTTCCAAGATGGTCCCAGCATCTGATGTGGGCAGCTTCTTCGCGTTTGGTCGTGTCTTCTCTGGAAGGATTGCAGCTGGAATGAAGGTCCGGGTCATGGGGCCTTCCTATGTCCCCGGCATGCAACTGATTTATACGTGGAGTCTGTCCAGCGTACCATTATATGGATGGGAAAGAAGCAATGTGACGTTCCGGATGTTCCTTGTGGTAACACTGTTGGATTGATTGGTCTGGATTCGTGCATAACAAAGAGTGCTACCCCGACAAGCGAGAAGGAGGTTGTTCCACGCCCAATCAGAGCGATGAAGCTCTCTGTATGCCCTCTGATGTTTGTTACAGTTAACTGCAAGGTTCCGTCTGAGTCTCCCAAACTTGTACAAGGTTTGAAGCGTCTGGCGATGTCTGATCATGTGGTTCTGTGGAGCCAGGTAGAGCCTGGTACCTTTACGGTTGCTGGAGTGGGAGAGCTTCATTTGGAAATTTGCTTGAAGGATCTACAGGAAGACTTTATGGATGGTGTTGAAGTTGTTGTTTCCAGTCCGCCTGTTGTTTCCTTCCGTGAGACTGTCCGCAAGTCTTGTGATCCTGTGGAGAGGAAGTCCAGAAACAAGCAAATCCAATGCAGCTTGTCTGTGGTAGCCCGCCCCTTGGATGAAAACCTAGTCGAGGCTATTGAAGATGGTCGCTTGGGTCCACGTACTGACCATGCGGTACGATCTGAGATCCTTGCTAAGCATGGTTGGGATAAGGATCTCGGTGATAAGATTTGGTGCTTTGGTCCTGATGCTGTTGGCCCGAATGTGATTGTTAATAGGTGCAATATAATACAGAATCTGGAGTTAGCGAAGAAAGTTATCGTGGCTGGCTTTGAAATGGTGGCAAAAGAAGGCACATTGGCAAAAGAAAAGTTGCATGGCATATGCTTTGAGGTTCATAATGTTAATATACGTGCTGATGAAGCTGTGAGAGGTACAACTGCTCAGCTCAATGAGATGGTTAGGACAGCACTTATCGAGTCTCAGCTCGCCGCCAAGCCAAGGCTTCTCGAACCCACCTACATTGTGGCGATCCAGTGCCCTAAGAGTGCCCTCAGCACTATCTACGGAATTCTCCACCAGAGGAATGGTTCTGTGTATGAGGAGTTTGTGAGAGAAGGCACGATGCTACACATCCTGAAGGCTTACGTTCCAGTTTATGATTCCTTTGGCCTCTCCAAGGCAATCAGTGCTGCAACATCTAAGCTGGTCACCCCGCAGTGTATTTTTGGATATTGGAGCGACATGTGCTCTGATCCTTTCCAGGCAAATGCGCCAGCTGGGCAAATGGTCTTGGATATCCGCAAGAGGAAGAAGATGGGCAGGCCCTCTTTCCAGAAGTAGCTCCAGCTTTCCTTGCTTCAGTGTATGTTGTTGTTATCTGACATCTTCCGAGGTATATTATCTACTAATTGATGTTCAATTACTTAACATTGCTCCTGGATATGGTATTAATACTTTTGATACAATACTTGTGGCTCTTTGATGCCGTAAGTATGCTGAGGTTTAGCAACATGCTGAAATTTGTATCTTCAGGTCAAGCAGGCACAATTTTCTTGTAGATATGCCTGCCTAGCTTAGATTTTGTGCTGCAAGTAAACACATAATCCTAGTTAGATTTGTCGCAGAATTTGTTTGGGAGACATATCTCCTGATTTGGTGGCGACTTCAAGGGATTTTGCAGGTTCTTTATGCAAAGCAGGGGAATCAATAGCCAGATCTGGGTTTTTTTTTCTCTTGTTTGGACTTCATACTCTGTTAGGAACTTTGATTGTTTTTGTTGCACCGAACCAAATAGAGAAATGCATAGTTTTGTCCTGATTTAGCTTCAGATAATGTCACAAAAGCAAATTGGTCTTGTTCTACCGCAGATGTTCCATTTAGCATGATTAGATCGCACATGTTTTCAAATTGTCATGTTCCTTTGGACATTTGAGTGATGAAACGATGTTGATGCCACAATGCTCGCATGCCTTGCGTTTTCCCCGTCCAAGCATGCAATCCCTTGGGATAAAGCATGACTGATAGTTGCAGTCACAGACGTGCACTAGCAAACTGTTTAGTGCTACTGCTCGAAGCTGACTTTGCTGGTAGAGCAAGGCAGCTCGGTTGGTTAGTGAGGCCGGCAGCTTTCTGTTGTTCATCTAGTACTAGAGGTCACTGTGAAAAACAGTGTCCAGCTTGCTGTGCTGGCAGGAGCATATGATAACATCACTGCCAGAAAGTGCAGGGCTATTCAGTTATTCACTGTGCTATGTGTATATATGTCTGTGTTTGTGCACACTTTCTTCAGTGCACGCAGTTATATTTTGTGGTGTATTGCAGCTCATCCATAGTATGTGATATGATGTCGTGTCTGATTCGGATTCTGTGGTTTCCCCCTTTGCAGTGCGCTCTTCTCGTTGCTAGTATGCAGTGCTGGGGTTCGCTTCACTTGATCGATCGTCAACGGGATCTATCACCCCCTGAAGGGAAGGGAGGGGCTGCTGCTCCCCCTAGCTAGGTGGATAGGTCTAATGGTAGCGAGCGAGTGTTAAGGAGAAACTTTCACACCGAGCTGAACTGTTTAGCGTCGTCGCTGCCCCAAGTGTTAACAAGGAACTTAATTGGTGTCAATGTACCTGATGTCGCGTCGCTGCTCAGCAATGTACCTGATAGCTGTAGAGGATTTTGCTGCTCTACATCTCCTTCCTTATCGACTGCCCTACTCTTTGCTGAATACTAGTGTAACATGCCATGTGGCAAACCCGCTTACAGACGCCGTTGCTCTGCAAGTGCTAGCTGTAGAGGATTTTGCATGCTGCTCTACATCTCCTGATGGACTGCCCTAGTTTTTGCTGAATGTTTGATTCCGATTTTCGCCAGTCATGCCATGTACCCTCTCCGTTCCAAAATACTTGTCTTTCTAGGCATTTCAAATGGACACAACATATGGATGTATGTAGACATATTTTAGAGTGTAGATTCGATCATTTTGCTCCGTATGTAGTCACTTGTGGAAACCTTTAGAAAGACAAATATTTAGGAACGGAGGGAGTACTAGAACTGATCACAGTGGATGGAGTCTGTCTGCTTGTGTCTACTCTATCTTCGATCGCGGTGCCATCCACCCGCCGTCCAACATGCTGTGAGATGCGTGCTTAGCTCCTACATCTCTTGCTTTTTCTGCACACCCCCGTTTTTTTCTCATTCTAGTTTTCTCTCTCCACCTTCACCAAGTTGGACAAAACTTTTTCTTTTCAACAAGTTTTGATTGCTCATTACGCTATGACACGTGGTAAACGGGAGAAAAAGTATACTAAAATGTTTGACTGCATCCCACAAATATTCGAATAGTTCTTGTTTATTTTCATAAAATTTAGGTCACATATATCCAAATGATTTGAAGCAGAATTCATGAGATTTTAAGCACATTTTTAAAGAGTAGAAATCACGTTCAAAAAAGGACCCAGGTTTTTATAAAGTGTTTTATAAAAGCTTGATATGTCTACCCGGGAAACCGGTTCACAATAGTGTGGTAGCAATGGGGGGCGGCTATTTCGCGTGGCTAGGCTTGGCTGGTCAATTCGGACCAGTTTTAATTTTGTTTTCATTTTTAGCACTTTCCCTTTTGGCAACTTTTGAACAAATGTGTGTCTAACTTTCAGAAAAATGCAGAGCCAGGCTTTGGGATTTCAACTTTTTGTGGAAATTTAAACTTGAAGTTTTGGGGAATCAATCTTTTAAAAAGTTTCAACTTGTTGGACAATTGTGTCTAACTCTCAAAAAAATGAGGGTTGAAAACTTTGAAATCTGGGAAACCTCCATTTTTTTTGAAGCTTCAGGAGTAAAATAAATAAATAAATCACAATGTAACCTTTGGAAGACTTTTACAGACTGCCAGCACCCTGAACTTGCGGAATTTGAAATTTCGTAATTTGTGAACGTTTTAACAGGGAATTTTTTTTAGAGAAATAAAAACCGCATGCATGCGTGAGAGAGTAAAACATGGGCACTTTTCGTCGTCAATAAAAACAAGAAGAAGAAGAAGAAGAAGAAGAAGAAGAAGAAGAAGAAGAAGAAGAAGAAGAAGAAGAAGAAGAAGAAGAAGAAGAGTACATTGTAGGACCCCACAATATAAGGGACTGGCTAGGCGTCAGGTGACCGGAAATTCAATTGTCGGACCCTGCTCCCATGCTCGCCTCGCCGGCCCCCCTCCACTCAACTGCCTCCCACCGCCCCAGGCCATCCCTCTAACCCCGATGGCACTATTTTCTTTCCGGCAAACCTGCAGCACCACCACGCCCTTAAGATAGATAATGGGATCGCCTTCCACCCTAACATAGATACCAGGGGTGCCTGCCACCCTAAGATAGACCCAGATGCTTCTTCGGCAAGCCAATGGCTACTCCTTCCTTCCCTGCGGCGGCTGCTTCCTTCTAGCGAAAATCGACTAACCCGAATATAATTTACATGCAACTTATAAGTAACTAAACTGGCACATAAAACACAACATTTGTGAACCATTTTACTGAAACTCCCAATAATGGATGGATTTTCATCATATAGTAAAAATTACTCAATTGTTTTCATTTTTACATTTTGGGGAACTTTTGATCTATTCACCAACTGTCACGCAAGGATAAAGAACACGAGACATAACTGAAATTACATCACTGGTAGAAAAGAGGGCTTTGGTCCACCCCGGGTTAGCCCATTAGTCCCGGTTCAGTCTAGAACCGGGACTAATGGGGGCATTAGTCCCGGTTCGTGCGCCCAGGAGCCACGTGGGCCATTTGTCCCGGTTCGTCTGAACCTTTTAGTCCCGGTTGGTGCCACGAACCGGGACTAAAGGGTTAGACCTTTAGTCCCGGTTCGTGGCACCAACCGATACTAATGGGGTTTGAGGCATTAGTACCGGTTCATGGCACGAACCGGTACTAAAGGTCCCATTTTCAAATTCCACCCCCCCTTGGATCGCCTTTTCAGTTTTAAAAAAAATAAAAGAAAATGATGAAAATGTCAAAAAAAAAAAGTTTCCCATGTGATATGTGGTCTAGTTGTTGGGAAGATTTATAAATATAAATTTCGACTTTATTTGCAAAATCTCCCTAGAATTTAGTAAAATGGGCATAACTTTTGCATACTGACTCGGATGAAAAAGTTTTTTACATGAAAAATCATCTACTCAAAAAGTTACATCCAAATTTAACTGGGGGAACCCCGTTAACATTTTTAGAATCCTCAAAAACCTAACAGAAAAAAGTTACGGGGCTTTTAAGATCTAGAGTGGAAAAAATCGAAAAAATTTCAAACTGTGGTCAAACAATGGTCAAACTAATTATTCTAGAATATTAGTGTTACTAAATAATTATTTCAGTTATTTTGAATTTTGGTCAAATCTGGTCAAACTGTGGTCAAACAATGGTCAAACAATGGTCAAACTAATTATTCAAGAAATATTAGTGTTACTAAATAATTATTGTTTTTTAAAACAATAGTTTCAAACTCAAACAGTGAAATGTGTCACTTCATGCTCACGCAAAATTCCTGAGGGTTAATAGGATTGACATCTTACTATTATCAGCAAAACAACAAGTGCAGACTTGGAAACGAGGGAGAATAGAACCCGAAAGTTAAGCGTGCTCAGGCTGGGGGAGTGGGAGGATGGGTGACCGTTCTGGATGTTAGATGATTAGGAATGATGATAGGTGATTCGAGATTAGAGGATAAATTGAGCAGTGATGAGGGGTGGTGATTAGAGATTAGAGGTTAACATAATTCAGAAAATTGAAAATAAAAAAAAATTCAAAAAAATAAAAAAAATCATAAAATTTCCTTTAGTCCCGGTTGGTGTTACCAACCGGGAATAAAGGTGGAGCTCCACGTGGCAGCGACCTTTTGTCCCGGTTCCAGTTTGAACCAGGACTAAAGGGGGGAGGCATTAGTAACGATCCTTTAGTCCCGGTTCAAGAACCGGGACTAAAGGCCCTTACGAACCGAGACTGATGCCCCCTTTTCTACTAGTGCATCCATGTACACAGATCATATAGTGATGACGACAAACCCTGAAGCGAGTCGAAGGTGTGCCACCGTCATCGCCCCTCCCTCATCGGAGTCGAGCAAAAGTTGTAGTAGTAGACAGTTGCAAAGTCGTCGTGCCAAGGCCCTCCCAAAACCAGCGCACCAAAACAACAATCATCGCGCCGCTGGGACGAGGGTTGGACCAGGAGAACCTCATTCCATCTTCATTCATTTTCTTGATCATGTTTATTTTCCAATTGAAAACCAGAATGTTTGGAGCAAGTTTGATAAAATGTTTGTTCACGTTGTATTCATTCGTTTATCACAAAGGAAATAGCTAT